ACCCTCCGCCTGACAAATATTCTTATTTTTTATTATTGATTATATAATTTTTTATATTTCATTTGAAAAATTATATCACATTTTTTTTATAGGATATACATAATATTATAATATTTGCCATAAAAATATGAAAATAATTATGATATTATTAAAAATTGGTAGTTTGATATTTTTGTGGATGCAACTTTCTCTTAACACCCACAATTTACTTTGAAATATTATTAGAAATTTAAAAAAATTAAAGGTAAAACATGAAAGCAACAATTTTATATTACTGATTTTATCATCTCATATAGGGTTAACGTCCAACTGCCAGGTGATTTTTCATATCAAACAATAAAAAATTATCACTTTTAAGAATAATTATAGTAAGAGAATTATCTATTTTATTAATCCAATATCTTCATATAATAGTAGCTGTGTACAAAACAACATTAAACTATTTTAATTCCTAGAAAAAACACTTTTAATGACATAATAGTTAAAATATAAAAAAATCAATGAACACGAATTAAATTGAATCAAAATTAAATTTGAAATAGGAAAATGTAAGAAACAAAAAATATTCATAATAACTCTAAATAAAAAATGCTTCGGAATAAAGGAAGACGACAAAGCTTTATTGACTTTATTCATTTGTTAAGGAATTAACTCATAATGAACGTAATCATTAATTCAAATATCTAGGGTGAAAATCTTACTTGTGAATAATTTCTAATTATCCATACAAGAATTTATAAAACTTGAATTAAAAAATTAGATCTCATCATTATTTAACGTTAGGTAGTGACCAATCATTACTTGGTCTGACCCGTTTCATGGTCATTCGCTCATCATATTTGTATGTGTATATATTCAAATGCATACAGAATAATGACATATTTTTATCGAAAATATAATTAAATATCTAATTTATGTACATAATTTATAGGTCAAATTACATGTTGATAATTATAAATAATATAATAATATCTTACATAAAATGAGGATACATTATATTTAATCGAGTTTAGGTCGAATTTAAATGTTGACTCAGTCAATATCTAATGTCAGTTAGCTTCGAGTTTAAAACTAAGTCCGGGTTCAAAAATTAACATGAGACATTTAGGGTCAGGTAAAAGAAAAACATTCACTCGTCCGATGTTCATCCATATAAAGAATATATGAATATGGTAATGGAGAGGAAAATACTTTGAAAATACATAAGAAAAACAACCTATATTAATATTTATATCATTTTCGTTTAAAAAAACAATATACTTTTAAACTTGAAATACAAATAAAAAATTCACTTAATGGAAGAGAGAAGGCAATGTTATATATAAAAATGAAGCTTCCGTGACACGTTCGAGCGTTACACAACACGTGATTGTGATACTGATATTTACAGCATAGTTTGAGAGATTCTTGTGGTGTAGCAATTGTAAAGGCGTATTTCGAACCAAAAGAAAAATCACGGTAATTGAAAATGAGATAAAATGTATGTATTGAACAATATAATTTAATTATTTTAATTCTTAAATATAAGTAAATTAATGAATGAAAAATTATATAATAATTATATATAAATATTTAATAATGTTACATATATATATTACACTTATTTGAAATACATTTATTATCGGTATAATATTTATGTAATATCAATGTAAAGATTTATACACAATTAATATATTATGAGTAAATTACACTCACACCCCCTGAGTTTTAGTGAAATTACACAAACCACCATTCACTTTTTTGTCATTACACGAACCACCCCTAATTTTGTACATATGTTACACTGACTACCCTGCATGATATACAAGTGTAATATTTTAAACAAAAAACGTATAATGTGTGTAATTAATTAAACAAAATATTGTATATTGTGTAGACAAATTCAAATAATATAAGAGTCAATGCGTCTTCATTATTTGGCTCGTTATAAAATAGTATAAGAGATATTTAAACATTTCTTTGAAATTTATAATGTATTTTTTAATGACACAAAAATAATAAAGAAACATTTGGTTTTGTACTACTTGAAGTATTATACAATATACAATATTCTGTTTAACTTAATTACATTCATCACACGTTTTTTCTTTAAAATATTACACTTTTATAACATGCATGAGTGATCAGTGTGATGTATGTATAATTTTAGGGGTAGTTTGTGTAGGAGGGATGAGTGATTGGTGTAAGGACAAAAAAGGGAGGGATGGTTTGTGTAATTTCATTAAAATTCAGGGGGTGTGAGTGTAATTTACTCATATTATTTATCACTTTATTTAAATTAATTTATTGAAAAGTCAATACCGGTTAAATATAATTGAAAATGATAGAATAATAATGTATAAAACTTATATATTATTAATAAATACATTTGTTTTCTATTATATAATAGCGTGTTGATAGACACACAACCCGCTTTTCTATTGAGTGAATTGTAATTGATTTGTATATTTTTATTACATTTTTCATAACCATAACAAAATCAACAAAACATGATTTGAAATTTTGCATGTTAAAAAATGAAAAGGATAAAATGTCGTGTTCAAATATTGTATTGATTCATGTGAAAAAATTGTTGTGTTCAAATGGAAAAACTGTAAAAGTTATATAAATAAACATGGAACATAAAATGAGGAAATAAGATATATGATTTTTTTGGTAAAAAATATAGATTAATAAGAACAAAATAGGAAAACACAAATTACACCATCATGAGTAGTTATTTTAGATATAAAAATATAGATAAAATAGATGAGAAATATAAATTGTTATAAATAATTGGGTGACTTTGATAGCTACAGGATATGGATTAGGGAAGAGAGAGGGTGTGGTGGAAATAGAGGCACGTCATGTTCCACGTATTTCTATTGACCACATCACATTGTAGTGACAGTTCGTGGACAAAGACGGGTATCCGCTTAAGTTGATGATAAATCTTACTTTATCACACTTTAATATTCTATCATATCACTGTCCATCCACTACCATTATCGTTTTTTTACTCTAATCAATACTGTTTATCTGTGTATTATCTCCACTAAGATTTCTTTTTTTTGCATTAATTAAAAGTATCATAGCACTCTGAATTAGTCTCAATTTTAAGGATTTCAACCTTGTTTTTTCACTTTACTCATTATTCAATGATGATATAAGGAGACTTTACTATATATATAGATGATAAAAATATTTATACTTATGTGCCCATAAAAATACTAACAATAATAATTGTATTATTTTGATTTTTTTAATATTATCAACGGTATTGCCGCTTTAAGATCATCGTATGAGCTCACATCTACAATATTGCTGCAATAGTGCAATAACATGTGAGTAATTTGGAAGGGTTAAAATAAAAGAAATTAAACTCCTCCAAAATGGCAAAAGGGGGAGAAGCTACCCAATTGATTAGTAATCAAGAAATATTTTCACTGCTACTTTTTTTACAAGTTAGGCACTGAAGCATTAGTTAGACCAACACGAGTCGGAAGTATCTATATTAGTGACACCATATCCTGTTCGAATCATATGTTTTCTACAAAAGCTAAAACTGTTGCTAGAAATTGGCTCAGTGGATAAGATGTATTGTAAAGTAAAATATTGTTTTACCGCAACCCAGGAAAGAGATTATTATTGTGATTAATATGAATAAAGAGAAGCTGTGATTTCACATAATGCAAAGCATACTAGATAGACTGGGTCACTAGGCAGAAGTAGGAGAAAAGGAGTGAACCTGTCTCTAAATGCTATTGCCCTTTCCAAAAGAGAGGACTGTATCGCATCCAAATTGTCTTTCACAAAAGCTTCCAAAATTGGAGGCTCCATAGAGACTCCAAACACTTTCCCCTGCTTTCCACTAGACACATCACGAGGACCAATTTCAATTCTAAGAGGAACTCCCTGAAATATGAAGGTGCATATTAGGTAAGCATAATCGGATACTCTAACTAAGAAAATATCTGCAGCACAAGCAGAAAGAAAAAATAAATCGGAGTTGATATTTATGGTAAACACACAAGTTTAACAACAAACCTTCATCTCCCAGAAATTGAATTTCCATCCAGGGGTTCTTTGATCCGAGTCATCAAGTTTAACTCTAATACCTGCAGCTTGAAGAGTTTCTTTTACAGATGATGTAGCCTTTAGAACTGCCGTTTTTTCATCATCTTTCCTCCAAATAGGCACAATTACCACCTAAATCAGGCAATGTGGATAATGAGGAAGTCAAAAATGATAATTTTTTAGTCAATAGAAAATCACCAAGTATTAGTCTGGAACAATCCAAGATGTTCTGTAATGGATATACAATCCCAATAAAATACTTTGAAAATCATCAAATTGTGCATACAAATAAGAACATTGGTTTCATGGTAGAAAATGGAGTGAGGACTAAGAACATGACACTTCGATAAACTTTACAAGAGGTGGATTCTACTGATTTATAGATATCGCTCAAATGAAGGCATATTTTGCATTGAGCCATTTTGTTGGATGTTCTGTACGCAGAGTTATTTAGCAAAGGTGAGACATTTTATATTATCAATCATCACTAGGTTACCAGCTCCTTGTTTGACCAAGATTCAAAATGTTGTAGAATTAGCTTTTAACCCAAAAATGGTGTCTAAACACGACTAAGGAATAAAACATCCAAATGTACCTGTACAGGAGCAACCTTTGGTGGAAGCATTAGGCCTGCATCATCTCCACGGGACATGATAATACCTCCAATGAAGGTCATTACAGCTTGGAAGATTGAAGATGAGTAACGACATAAGGGTAAGTCTAGTCTTGTGGAATGTATTGTTCCATGAATATGTTGGGCTAGTGACATCAATGATGAAGCAATCTTAATTCGTGGATGAGGGAGAGTCTTCATTCACTATGGAATGGAGTGGAGCAAATGACTGTTTTCTGTTCTTAACCCAAGTCCCACACTGAGCCGTGTGTTGAGTGGAGTAAAGTAACTACACTATAAAATATGGGAGGTTCAGTTGCTATATCTCATGCAGCCGTGTAGTAAGTGCAAAGCGAACTATTCTTTCGCCTTTTACTAAAGAATACCGTGTGCTTCTCACTTTAAACGGCATACACCTATTTTTTTGAAGAGCCTTCCTATTTGGAGGGCACTGAAATTCTAGTCTCAAAATTATTTTCCATTGACGTAGGAGCTTTTACTTTAAAGAAAGATGAGCCACCAGAACCATTGTTATGGCTATCCTTGTTTCGACATTATTTTGTTATTTACTCAATTAAATTCCAATTTTGTTTTGGTTGTTCTATCAGCTTTAACTGTTTTAGTTATTGTTTTATTATTTTGTTGATTAAATCATAATTACTGTTTTTTATTTATTAAAAAAATTATTTTTTCTTAGGTTGTTTCTTCATGCTTCGTACCATGTCACAATATTGCATAATGTTGGTAAGACTTTCTTATATATAACATAAAACAAAAAATGGCTTTGCTAATATAATAGGCTAATACCAATACACTACTAAAGATCGAAAATCTTATAATATAAAAAATACAATCCTGCTTCTAAGAATCTCCTTCGCTGAAAAGAAAATATCACAATAAGGCTTTATTTTGTAGAGGCTCTTCTTAGAAAAATTGGCATCTAGTTAATTTTCAATTAGAAGAGACATGTTATTGTGCATCTCCTTCTCTTTACCTTTTGACAAATAGTAAACTAGTTTCATGTTCTGGATTATGTTGGAAACGAAAAATTACCAATACTAGTTTAATGAGGAACAAATTACCCTTTGGCAATATAAGACTGGAAGTAATTTAATTGCTAGTGCTACCGATACCAATTTTGTTACAAGAAAACAAAAAAATCAAATTGTCACTTGGTGGAGGCTGTTCTCTGTTCTCTACTTTACATTTGATATGTATAAGTTTTCAAACAAAGAGTGTTTAAAATAATAAGGAATTTAGAGAGGAGGAATCACAAGGAGAGATAACTAAGTCAATCAAAGATCTCCTTAGACAAGTATCTAATACAGTGTTGTTTAATAGGGTAAACAATAAAGACTTACGACCGTTATTGCTTAACTTTGAGACTGGTTTCGATGCGTTCAATAAGCTGATCTGCAGCCATTGTTCCCTCCTGAAAATCATTGCTACCTTAGGATATTCAATGTCATCTCACACAGTGGCCAAACACATGCACACTAGTTAATCAGTTTTACATGTGTTCCAATCAGTGCTTAGCAAACAATAGACTAATTCCAACCTCTCAGAAAATGAACATAAAATATAGATAAGAGAAGGAGTCCAGTGGGAAAACCATTGGGGAACTCAAACAGAATCAGGTTCTGTAGTGATTTTTTTATGAAAAGAATGCCATTTTTAATGGAATAATCAATGTTTTTGAAGGCCTAGGTCTTATCATTTCCAGATACAGCAATAACTATAGTAGTAAAGTAAATCTGAATGAAGTTGAAACTTTAAACAACAAGAGGATCCTCTAATCTGTTCACCACTTACGAGATCCAACATTCAAATAGATAAGCTTCATTGTGTCTTCATTATAGCTGAAAAAAGTTAAAAATAATAAGGAATTTAGAGAGGAGGAATCATGAGGAGAGATTACCAAGTCAATCAAAGATCTCCTTGGGCAAGTATCTTTAATACAGTGCTGTTTAATAGGGTAAACAATAAAGACTTACGAGGGTTATTGCTTAACTTTGAGAGTGGTTTCAATGCGTTCAATAAGCTGATCTGCAGTCATTGCTCCCTCCTGAAAATCATGAAGATTTTTTCCCCATTGGCTTAGAAAGAGAAGATAGTTCTTAACTTAAGAATGTGGAAATGTCAAATAAGAAAAAACATGTAAAGTAGCTTTCACAAAAGAAGCTCTCTAACATTAAAGACTATGTGTCAATGTTGACAATATATAAGTACAAAATGTGTATGAAGATTTGACATTAGGGACAATGTGCAACACATCAAAGGAAGGGCTGTGAACATCAGACCCATGTCAAGCTATATACATTCAAATACAATGATGGGAGAAAGCATTTCAATTTACCAATGAAACAGTCTTAGACTATTGACCATAAAGTCACTATTTTAGACTATGTTAAAGCACTTATTAGGTTGTTTAAATTCTGATCAACACAAACTTCATTTTGGTTAAGTGCATTGTTGAAGTCAACAAGCCTTAGGGACTAATAATGGTTAAGGTGACATTGTGACAATATTAATCAAAATTAGGGACTAGATGATTCCACCACAATACAATTTGTCTATAAATTGTTGTCAGCAGCAGCTAACTTGTACTAATGGTACAACTGTTCAAAGCAGCTAAGCTTCACTGATGTTAAAATAACAGCTAAGCTGTACTGACGTTAATAACAGTAGTTCACATCAAGAGTACAAAATGACTTCCACTTCTTCTCTTAGAGGGCTTAACAATCAAAAACAAAAATATAATGGTTTGCGACCTTTACGTAGCAATTTTACTCATGTAGGAGAGGCATCTAGGTCATCAACACTGAACAGTGATCATCTACCCAAAATTAAGCAAGACAGACGTAGTAAGTTCTAAGAACACCATATTTTTGTACGCTGTAACACTGCTTATGAAAATAAATATGTCCATAAAAACATCAAATTCAGTTTCATGGTTCTAATTATAGTCTAATCATAATGTCAATGCCCCTACAGGATATCATGGTCATAGACCGCGAAAAAGGGCTACATATGAGCGTCAAGAGTCCATTGCAAAAGCAGCAGAGAAGGCTTCCATACATTTTGAAGTAGCAGATTTAAGGGCATAGTTCAGATTATATAAATAAATATCTGGACAGCATAAAGTAACTTACAAAGCGATCATAGGGCTCTCCATCCTTAAAAATGATGAAAGTAGGCAATGCCTGAACATCGTATTTGTTAGCGATAGAGGGATACTTCTCAGTATCAATCTTTACAACCTGTATCTTATCATTAAGCCGAGTGCTTACTTCATTGAGTATGGGAACCATAAACTGACAAGGACCACACCTGTAAACCAGACCATGGGTTACTGCGTAAAAGTTTATGAATAATATAGTTAAACAGTTAAAATTAAAATAATAGGAATTTAGGAAGCACAGATATGATACGGGATACCAATAAGATACACTGATAAGATGAGGGTATGACACATTTGAAAAATTATAGACCACAACTCACAACACTGACTATGATACAAAATAGAAAATTAGTAAAAGACCAACATAAAAGCACATCTTGAATAAAAGAGAAAAATAATGTTTTAAAGGTTAATTTAGGTGATTACCAACATAACAAAATACTCTCATTAGGCTAATAATTATTGTGGCATATTCATATATGATGGTGTTAAAACTCAAAAAGTAAAAGCAATAAACAGTAAGTTATAGTAAGGAGTATTGAAAAGTATACATGAAGTATGAGTTTGACAATATTCTTGAGGGGCTTGTAACGAGTACCCCTGTAAGGATGTAACCCCTATAAAACCTTATAACTCTTGCTTCCACATATCAATTGGATATATGTATCCCAAACAAATCGGGATTTATATGCTTTTTTACATCATTTTACACTTATAAGTCAGTTGGTCAACTAATTTTACGAAGCACTTATTAATCATAAGTTTTCACTTGCTGAGTTTTCGGCCTTCAGCTATGTTTTACATTCAGATGTGCCAAACACCCCCGAGGTATCTAATACAGATAAGTGTCATCATTCATCGCTAAAATTTGATGATATAAGTGAAAGAAAAAAGAAGAAGGAACAAACCATGTAGCATAGAAGTCAACTAATACAGGCTTGTCAGCATTATCAAGCAATTCATCAAACGTGGAAAAGCTTTGTTTCTTTGCTTCAACAACCTAAACACACAACACAAAAAAGTATGAATAATTGAAATTGTAAAATATAACTATTTTCTAATTAAAAAACGAAAAGTGTGAAGGTTCGAGGCCGGATTTCCATCCAACAATAGAATACCAGAGGAAGGATTCGAGGGCGCGATGAAGAGGAGATTGGAATCTGAAGAAGTTGAGTATGAACAGGAAATTGAATCGATGAAAACGAGTATAGTTTTGTGGAAGATGAAGAAGTTGCTACAAGAAGGGTGGAGCGTTGGGAGTTGAAAGAAACAAGAGTAGAGGATGCTGAAATCGAGAACGCCATTCAAACTGTTTGGATAATGAGCAAAGGAATGGAATATGTGATATCTCACCAAATGATGTAAACAAATTTCCTAGTAATTTTAGTTTCTTTGACTATGGTAGTTCTGTCACCATTTGAAAAACCCTACAAATTTTATTCAAATATAAGGGAATGTATAAAATACAAACTAATAATTAGTTCGCATGGATGCAAATTAATACATAAGTCGGTTTGGGCTATATTAAATTTGACATATATAAAAGTCGGTTTAGGCAATGTTAACATTAACATGGAGTGAATTCGAATCCCGCTCCTAACGTTTTTCACAAAACATATTTTTGTTGTTGAAGATTTCCGCTTTGTCTTTCAACTGAAATTGCCTGCAAGTCTTGTTATTTTATTTACGATGATTCCTTTTTCTTTCCCGGTGATTTCAGCCATTATATCTACAATAAAAAGGATGAAATGATATAAGAGTAAGCCTGCACTTAAAACCATATTTGATGACTTACAAAGCAAAAATCTTGAAAAATAATATGTTTTGTGATGTAGTGTATATATTAACATTGCTTAAACCGACCTCTATATAGAAGTCGGTTCCAGAAAACACTTCTTCCATATAGAAGTCGGTGAGGCCCAAACCGGCTTCTATACGGGCCAAAGTTAACAAGGTTCAAACCGACCTCTGTATTAGTTCTCATCAATGTGAACTAATTATTAGTTCGCATTAGACCTGTCAAAACGGGCTACCCGGACGGGTTTGGGCTAGCCCGCTTTTGATTCGGGCTAAAACGGGCCGGACTAAAAAGCCCGGTTATATTTTATGTTGCTAAAAATGAGGTCCAAACCCGCCCAAAGCGGACTGTGGGCTGCGGCGGGCCGGCCCGAATTATTTTATTATTTACACCAATGCAAAAAACTGATGTTTTTAATATGTTGTAATCGATTACGAGTATATTGTAATCGATTACATCATGTAAAATGCACAGGTCTGATTAGTTTATCAGCATGTAATCGATTACCAGGATTGTGTAATCGATTACACTGTTTAAAAAAACAGCAAAAACTAATGCTTTTAATATGTTGTAATCGATTACGAGTATATTGTAATCGATTACATCATGTAAAATGCACAGGTAAGAAAAGCCAAATGAGAGGGAAGAAAATGAGTAGACAATGGCCCGAACCCGAACGGGTAAGCCCGACCCGAGCCCGAATTTATTGTGGCCCGGTCAGGCCGGGCTAAAAAGCTCGGTTTAACTAAAATACTCAAACTTTAGTACCCAAGCCCTATACCTTTTCGGGCCTTGGCGGGTCGGCCCGCTATACCCGACCCATTTTGACAGGTCTAGTTCGCATCTTAGAAATGGCCATATACAAAATGGGAGAAAAAAATATCCACTCCAAATTAAGTGGGAGAAATTAATCAACCTCAAACCCAAAATTCAAAATCTGAACTTGAATTCAAATTAAGTGGGATTAAAAATAATGACACCTTTCCCAAACCTGTTGTATTTCGCGCAACACGAACCCGATAGGAACCTTCTTGAAACATATATTTATATATATATAAGTTTTATAATATATCTATGTCTAATTTTATAATTTTACATATACAAGAACTTAATCAAATTGAATTTTATTGTTAAATGCAAGTTAGGTCGAATGGGTACGCACATAGATGAAGTATTGTTACTGCATCACCCTTATAGTGAGAGACAAAACCTACAGGGTAAAGGCTGAAAAACATTTTTATTTGTGATGGGAGAAAATTTTATAATTGAAAAATGAAACAAAGACATTGAGTGAAGGCTTATAATCCCAATTGTGTTATGTAATTTTCCTTGGGATGGTATTTGAATATCATTTGTATACTGTTATTCATTGATTTCTTATCCTTACCACAAAATTCTTTTTGTTGGCAAGGAAACAAACATATAGAATAACTAATTTGTTTGTTTTAAAATAAAATTAATATGGAAATGGAAAAGCATGTTCCGACCTTAGCTCAGTTGGTAGAGCGGAGGACTGTAGTGGTACATTTCAGTAATCCTTAGGTCGCTGGTTCGATTCCGGCAGGTCGGATTTTAATATTGTTTTTGTCCTATCACAATAGAAGGCCCATGTTAAAGTGGAAAGGCTTGGGCCCATAAAATAAAAAAGGCAAAAGGGCTAGGCAGTTCTATAAATAAAAATTAGTTAGGGTTTTTGAGTCATTGTCTCTGAGCTTCGCATTTCAGTAGCCGCTTCAGGTTCTCCCCATCTCAATCTTCTCAAATCATACTCATTTTCTACATTTAATTCTTTTAGTATGAAATAATGATTTGTTTTTTGTAACTAATTCAATGTAATTTTCTTTCTTCTTTGTTGTCATCTCTGTTTATAAGTTTCACGGTTCGCTAATCACGTGTTATTGATTCAACTCAATTAAGTGGTTATCTTTCTCATGTTAGCTAAATTATATTAATTATCCATTTTTGAATTATTAGGCGTTTTGTGATTTATGTTATTGTGATTATTATTTGTTTAGTAGGGGAAGGATGTCTCACAGGAAATTCGAACACCCAAGGCACGGTTCTCTTGGATTTCTCCCAAGGAAGCGTGCTGCTCGTCACAGAGGAAAAGGTATATATTGTTTTTAATTCTTATGTTTGGTTTTTTACTTTTCATATTTGAATATGGAGGTTGTCATGCAAGTAGTGTTTTTTGCTAAAATAATGTGATAACACATGAGTACTCATGTTGCAGTGAAGGCATTCCCCAAGGATGACCAAACTAAGCCACCTAAGCTTACTGCTTTCTTGGGTTACAAGGCTGGTATGACTCATATTGTTAGAGAGGTCGAGAAACCTGGATCAAGTATGTCACATTTTCATTTTATTTTTATTTATCTTGCTAACTCAAATAGATGTGGCCTCCTTTTCAATATATTGTTTTTTATGTTGGGTTGTGAAAGAGTGCCACGCAATTTAAATAACTATTTGCTTATTAATGGTCTTTGGTTTCCTAATTGTTGACTCTAGAATGTTGCCTCTGTTATAACCAGTGAAATAAGTACTGAATTTTGCATATAAATTGATAGAATTCTCTGATTTTAATAGAGGTGGACTATAGTTCATGACCTGAACTTGATAATGGCGGTGCTGTTGTGTTTCTTTACATGTAATTAAGCTATATGGATATGTTCTGATTCAGATGTATTCTGTTACATTGACCTATGTTTTCTAATTCTTTAATATGTTTTTAACGTCAGAGCTTCATAAGAAGGAGACTTGTGAGCCTGTTACAATTATCGAGACCCCTCCAATGGTTATTGTTGGGGTTGTTGGATACGTCAAAACTCCCCGTGGGCTTCGAACATTAAACACTGTGTGGGCTCAGCATTTGAGTGAGGAAATTAAGCGTAGGTTCTACAAGAACTGGTCTAAGTCCAAGAAGAAAGCCTTTACAAAGTACTCAAAGCAGTATGAATCTGAAGATGGGAAGAAAAATATTGAGGCACAGCTTGAGAAAATCAAGAAATATGCCACTGTTGTCCGTGTTCTGGCTCACACTCAGGTACTGACACCATGTAAAATTGTTTGCATTGTTTATTTTATTTCCCTTGTTTAATTATTATATATATGTGCTCTTAATACTATATGTTTAAGTTCAACTCAAGTATTTGTACCTGTGTGTGATGAGAATGATGAAATTACTGTGCTAACGCAGCAACCAGAATTTGGTGCAATGAGCGGCACTTCCACACGAGATTTCTGACTCTTGTTTGTGTTAAATTATGTGATCTCTTTCAGTTGCCAGGTTGTTCTTAAGAAAGTAGAGAAAGAAATGGCAAATTGTTATTATGGTTATTTACGCAACCAATGTTTTTTGTAGTCTTTATATAACATCATTTTTATATCTATGCCAAATTGTGTGTTGATCTATTTATATCTATGCCAAATTGTATTTGTGGTCCTAAGTTAAAAAGTCATGGCTTATTGTCAAGTCTTATTTTTGAGATATACGTCTAACATATTTGTCTGGGTGCCTGCCTTTGTCTGACAGATCAGGAAGTTGAAGGGTTTGAAGCAGAAGAAAGCGCATATTATGGAGATTCAGGTTAACGGTGGAACTATTCCACAGAAGGTGGACTTTGCATACAGTTTCTTTGAGAAACAGGTTCCCATCGATGCTGTGTTCCAGAAGGATGAGATGATTGACCTCATTGGAGTGACCAAAGGTAAGGGTTATGAAGGTGTGGTCACCCGTTGGGGTGTTACCCGTCTTCCCCGCAAGACTCACAGGGGTTTGAGGAAGGTGGCTTGTATTGGTGCCTGGCATCCTGCTAGAGTTTCCTTTACTGTTGCTAGGGCTGGTCAGAATGGATACCACCACAGAACTGAGTTGAACAAGAAGGTTTACAGGCTTGGAAAAGCCGGACAAGAGTCTCATGATGCTGTTACCGATTTCGATAGGTGAGTGACTTGCTGATGTATTATGGTCACTCTATTTTTGGTATCTTTTTCTATCTAATCGAAGTTGCTTCTTTGTGGCAGGACTGAGAAAGACATTACACCAATGGGTGGGTTCCCTCACTATGGTATTGTGAAGGACGATTATCTGATGGTGAAGGGTGGTTGTGTTGGTCCTAAGAAAAGGGTTATCACATTGCGCCAATCCTTGCTTAAGCAAACTTCTCGCCTTGCACTTGAGGAGATCAAACTCAAGTTTATTGACACATCTTCAAAGTTTGGTCATGGTCGTTTCCAGACAACAGAAGAGAAGCAAAAGTTCTTTGGACGCCTCAAAGCATAGATGTTATGCTAAATGGCTCGACAAATGCTTCCGACATATTAATGTTATATTCGGTTACCATCTTTTGAATCTTTCTAGTGTTATCATTTGACTTTGAAACTCATGGATATTTTGGTTAGTTGAGTTTTTTTACATGTTGCTCGAACCTTTCATTTTCAAGGAGATTGAGTTGTCTTCAAATTTTGTTTATTATTGGTTTTGCACCTCTTCTAATTTTGACTGTATTTTAATTCCATTTTTTCCATCTTTGGAAAATTTAATATGATTGACTATGATATGAAAACATGTTTAGAGATTAAGCAACCTTATGCTTTTTTAATGGCGGTTTATAAATAATATTGACATAAAATAAAATTTTAGACTTATAATTTTTTATTGTTATTAACTTAACATTAAGTGATTAGCAAAAGTTAATTAAGAAATTAAAATAATTTATGGTTGTTAAGTGTAAAAGAAAAATTGATTGATATATTTGTTTAGGCTTCATCTTCGTTACTTATTATTCCAGCTTTTGAGAAGTACCATCATCTACCTTATCATCTGGTTTCAAGTCCAAATAAAAAAGCAACAATTTTCATTTGCTAAGTTATTAGTATAACATTTTTTAATAAAAATTGATTTTTTAAATACTAATAAAAAAACAATCATTTTCATTTGCTAGATATTAATATATCATTTTCTAATAAAAATTGATTTTTCAAAGACTTAATAAAAAACAATTTTAATTTTGCTAGCCATTAATATACCATTTTCAAATAAAAATTAATTTTTCAAGTCTTAATGAAAAAAAATAATTTTCATTTGCTATACCATTTTCTAATAATTTTTTTTTTCAAGTCCTAATAAAAAAACAACAATTTTTATTTCCTAATGCATTAATATATAATTTTCAAATAAAAAATATTTTTCAAGTCATAATAAAAAAACAAACATTTTCATTTGTTAATGGATTAATATACTATTTTCTAATAAAAAAATTAATTTTTCAAGCACTAATAAAAAAACAACCATTTAAATTTGCTAATGCATTAATATATCATTTTCTAAAAAAATTGATTTTTCAAGTCCTAATAAAAATACAACCATTTTCATTTGCTAAGGCACTAAGGATATCATTTTCTAATAAAAATTGATTTTTCAAGTCCTAATAAAAAACAACAATTTTCATTTGATAAGACATTAATACACAATTTTCTAATAAAAATTGATTTTTCAAGTCCTAATAAAAATACAACAATTTTCATTTGCTAAGGCATTAGTATGCAATTTTCTAAAAAAAATTGATTTTTCAAGTCATAATAAAAAAAAAACAACTATTTTCATTTGTTAAGGCACTAATATACCATTTTCTAATAAAAATTGATTTTTCATGTCCTAATAAATGTACAACAATTTTCATTTGCTAAGGCAATAATGTAGCATTTTCTAATAAAAATTGATTATTCAAAGTCCTAATGAAAAATCAACAATTTTCATTTGCTAGCCATTAATATACAATTTTCGATTAAAAATTTATTTTCAAGTCCTAATAAACTAACAATCATTTTCATTTGTTAATGCATTAATATACCATTTTCTATTAAAAATTGATTTTTAAAATTTCTAATATAAAAACAACATTTTTCATTTGCTAAGTCATTAATATACCATTTTCTAATAAAAATTAAAATTTCAAATCTTATTAACAAAACAATCATTTTCATTTGCCAAGGCATTAATATACCATTTTATAATAATAATTTATTTTTTTAAGTCCTAATAAAAAATCTACCATTTTCATTTGATAAGTCATTAATGTACATTTTTCTAATAAATATTGATTTTTGAAGTCCTAATAAAAAAATAATCATTTTCATTTGCTAGACATTAATATACCATTTTATAATAAAAATTGATTTTTCAAGTCCTAATAAAAAACAACAATTTTCAGTTTCCTAAGACATTAGTATATCATTTTATAATAAAAATTTATTTTTTAAGTCCTAATAAAAAAACAAACATTTTCATTTCCTAAGCCATTAGTATACCATATTATAATAAAAATTGTTTTTTCATGTCCTAATAAAAAAGCAACCATTTTCATTTGCTAATGCATTAATATACCATTTTATAATAAAAAATTATTTTTCAAGTCCAAATAAAAAAACAATCATTTTTTAATTTCCTAAGGCATTAGTATACCGTTTTATAATAAAAATTTATTTTTCAATCACTAACAAAAAAAACAAGCATTTTCATTTGTTAAGGCATTAGTATACAATTTTGTAATAAAAATTGAATTTTTGAAGTCCTAATAAGAAAACAACCATTTTCATTTGCTAAGGCATTAATATTACATTTTCTAATATAAATTGATTTTTTAAGTATTAATAAAAGAACAACCATTTTCATTTGTTTAGGAATTAATATATCATTTTCTAAAAATGTACAACCATTTTCAAGTCCTAATAAATGTACAACCATTTTCAATTATTAATGCATTAGTATACCATTTTCAAATAAAAATTGATTTTTCAAGTCCTAATAAATGTACAACCATTTTCAATTCCTAATGCATTAGTATACTATTTTCTAATAATATAGATTTTTCTAGTAGTAATAAAAAATGGATTTTTCAAAGTCCGAATTTATAAAAAACCATTTCATTCGCAAAGGCATTAATATACCATTTTTTTAATAAAAATTGATTTTTTGAGTCCTATTCAAAAAAACAACCTTTTTAATTCCTAAGGCATTATTAGTATACAATTTTGGAATAAAAATTTATTTTTCAAGTCCTAATAAAAAAACAATTATTTTCATTTTCTAATAAAAATTGATTTTTCAAAGTCGTAATAAAAAAACAACATTTTTCATTTGGTAAGGCATTAGTATATCATTTCTAAATAAAAAATGATTTTTCAAGTTCAAATAAAAAAATAATGATTTTC